AAACAATTTATCACGTTCCATATTTAATGAAAAGAAAAAATAGCACTGCTCGCTTAAATGAATCTCTTCGCACTGAATTTTATTGAAAAATGTCTAACCTCTAAAATGCAGCAGTTTCAGATGTCAAAATAAATTATACCTACAACTAACGTCATCTAACGGTGAGCCGCAGGAACTAAGTTTACTACCTAATATATGACGCCAAAACAAAATCACTAACGTGTCAAAGCGCTTTGTTTACCATATGTCTAAACTTGGTTCATGACGTTTTGGATATGTCAAAATCGACCAGCACTTACTGCTGGAGCCATCTATTGACAAACAGCGGGAACGTAGTTGCGCACCTAATATAATAAAGTATAATTATATATTTAGTGTTTTCCATACTAATAATATATTTTTTGTTAAATTTCAACGATTTATTTATTAATATGACTCAGATAATTGATAATATTTATTTATTTTGTCTAAACAATTAAAAAAAACTGGCATTTCGTATTTTGTGTCATTTCACTTATTCACGAGGCTGGTGTGGTTTCGATCCCATATCAGGCAGTCACCGATTTTTAAATGACTGTGTTGTTTAATGCTTGACTTTTCAACGGTTGTATGGGAACTGGTGATGCCAATACGTTGTAACGATATCTTATCAGGATTTTGAATAAGTTCTCACTGTTCTCCATCAGATGGCGTTACCAGAACTGCGTGCGTGTAGCTTAAGATGGTAACGCATCTATAAGGAAGTACTATAAGCAAGCTTGAAATTCAATGTATGTCATTTCGCCGAAGTGTAAACTTTTTTTTCATAGTGTTAAACATGTCGAGTTTCGTGCCAAAAAAAGAATATTTGCGGGGAATTTTACTGCACTACTTTATTAAAAAAAAAATCTGCAGCTGAAGCACACAGAATTCTTACTGAGACTTACAGCGACCATGCTCTGTCGGAAACAACATGCAGAGATTGGTTTAGACACTTAAAAAATAATGATTTTGCTGTTGAATATAAAGAACGCCCTGGCGCACCGAAAAAGTTTGAAGACGAAGAATTGGAGGCATTACTTCATGAAGACTCATGTCAGACGCTAGCTGAACTTGCAGAATCATTAGGAGTTGATCACACAACAGTTTCGAAACGTTTGAAAGTATTAGGAATGATTCAAAAGCAAGGACATTGGGTGCCGTACGAGTTGAAGCCGAGAGACATCGAACGGCGTCTTTTCACGTGTGAACAGCTGCTTCAACGGCAGAAAAGGAAAAGTTTCTTTACATCGTATCGTGATTGGCGATGAAAAGTGGATACACTACGATAACCCTAAGCGTAGAAGATCGTGGGGTAAGCCCGGCCATGCATCAACATCGTCGGCAAAGCCGAATATCCATGGTTCGAAACTTCTGTTCTGCATTTGGTGGGATCAGCTGGGTGTAGTTTATTATGAGCTGCTCAAACCGAACGAAACCATCACGGGAGATCGCTATCGACTATAATTGATGCGTTTGAGCTGAACATTGAAGGAAAAACGACCGCTATACGAGCAGAGACTCGACAAAGTGATTTTGCAACATGACAACGCTCGGCCACATGTTGCACAACCGGTGAAAACTTATTTGGAAACGCTTAAATAGGAAGTCCTACCCCACCCGCCGTATTCATTAGACATTATTCCTTCCGATTATTAC